CTCTGCAGACTGTGAGCTAAATAAACTTTTCCCCCTTTAACTTTGGGTATTCGGTATTTTGTCTCAGCAATAAGAGAAAAGTAACTTATACACTGGCTATATTATAATTATTTTCCCATTAAGTTTATTGGTACGTTTAAAGCAAACAATACAGTTGCATTTATCACTGGGATCTTGTACCTTTACATGATATATTTTGATTCTTGGTTTTTCCCCATACCCTTGCCCTCTCTTCACCCCCTTCACCCTTCCCTATTTACAAAGACTTTGTCTCCATTTTTTCTTTTCCCTTATTTCCTTTCCCCTCCCCTTCCAACTTCCCCTTTAGCCATTTTCTTTCTGTTTCACACTCCCAATTATACCATTTGAACCTTTTTCACACTTTTAGTTTTTCACACCAGAGAAATTATTTGGCATTTACTCAAGTGTGTCCTATTTATTTCACTTAAGAGTATAGCCTCATTGTACATGCATCCATTTAGCTATACATTTTCTAATTTCTCATTCTTTATGGCTGAGTAGTACTCCATTTAATAGAAATACTACATCTTCTTTATCCAATCTCCAGTTGATGGGCATTTGGGTTGTTTCCAAGTTTTAGCTATTACAAACTATGCCTTGATAAACATGGGTGCACATATATTACTGTGGTATGATTTTCTTTTAATTCTTTTGGAAAGATGCCCAGTAGAGGGATAGTTCAAATGGAACCTCCAGTCCCAGCTCTTTGAGGTATTCTCCATATTGATTTCCACAGTGGTTGCACCAGTCTGCACTCCCACCAACAATGGAGAAGTGGTCCTTTTTTCCCACAGCCCTGCCGATATTTGTTATTGGTTGATTTCTTGATAGCAGCCATTCTTTCTGGGGTGAGGTGGAATCTCTGACACTGGCTGTATTATAGGGGGTTGGGAATGGAAGAATGCAAGACAAAAAATTTGAAAATTTAACTATTCAAGATCAGGAGGAGAGAGAAGTGAGATAAAGGATCCTATTAGAAGGTAAAGATTAATAGAAAAAAAATGAGGAATGGAAGATAAAAAAATAATGTGGAGAGAAAAAATAAGAAAAAAATTAAAAGGGAAAAAAGAAAAATAAAAAGAAAATCCCCTACACCTTAGTAAACCAGTGAAGAAGAAAGAAGAAAGGAAAAAAATGTACAGTATTTTTTTCTCTCTGTTTTTGGATGAGTGTTTCCTTCTAGGATCTGCAGTTTTGAAGTCTAGAAGTTCTTGGTTTTCTTTGCCTAGCTTTAAGGCCTGTGGGTTTTTGAGGTACCCTTTTTTCCAGAGGCCCCTCTTTTTACCCAGGCATGGCAGTATCTAAGCTGAGACATGCCCACTCGTGCCAGTAGATAAGGAAGGCAGTCATACTCTAGATCTCTGCTGGATCCAAGCAGTAGGGTGAGGGCTTGAATACTCAGTGCCTACGCTTTCAAACCCAGAGCCAAGCCAAGCCTGGCTTCTAGCCATAGGGTCTCTCCGACTCTTTGCAGCTTGCTCCCTGTCTGTGGTTGTTTCCTGTGGCTGCCTCACCCAGTCACTGTGGGAGGGTGACATTGGGAACCATGAAGTGAAGCTGTCCTGTTCCGAGTACCAGATTCAGACACTCGACCCTTTGCTCTCTCCAAGCATATGGTGGCACCTGCGCTGGGGTCCCTCTCTAGCTGTTGCTTGTAGAAGGACCTCCACTGAAGCAAAACCCTTTGCTGCCCCTGCAGATCACAACTTCTGGCCCAGTCCACTGCTGCTTCTTCCTGGGACCTCGTCAGGGGCAGGCTGAAGAGAAAAACCAGAATGTTTCATTCCCTTCTCTGCATTGTGGCCAGTCTCTTCAACTTCTCTATAGTTTTTAATTTGCCTGTCAGTTCCTTCCAGCTTATGGGGAGCACTCTCTCTCTCCCTCCCTCCCTCTCTCCCTCCCTCCTTCTCTCTCCACCCTCTCCTTTTTCTTTCCCAAGTTGTCATTTTCCATTGTGTGGATTCCAAGTCTCAGAGAGGCAGAATTATTTCTCTTCACCCCTCTGCCATTTTGAAAAGCCTTCTGAAAAGTTTCACCAGAGTTTACTACTACTTCTACTACTACTACTAATAATAATAATGACAACAACATCAGCAACACATGCAGGCATTTGTACATAGTCTATGTGCCTTGGCCTATAGCTTTATTCTGGGGTTTGCTGATGTGAATTTGACTTGTCATTGCCAGATCTTCCAGTATAAGAGGAGGTTCCTGGGATACCCTTTCATCTTCTTTTTTTTGTCCTGTCTCCTGCCTCTCTCCCCTCTCCTCTATCTTTACCTCTCCTCTTCCTCTCCCCTTCCCTCCCTTCCTTTCCTCTCTGAACAATTTATATGCAGTGAAATCCCAGATTAAAAGCATAGGACATTTTTAGCATTCCTGAAAATTCTCCATGACTCTTCCCAATCTCCTCTCTCCTCACCCTCTTACTAGGCAGTTATTGTTCTGATTTCCATTTCCATAGATTTTGTCTATTCATGAACTTTATGTAATTGAAATCATACAATATTTGGCGTATTGTGCTTAATGTAATGTTTCTGAACTTCATGTTGTTGTTCTGCATTTATAGCTTTTTCCTTTCTACTAGTACAAGCATTCCATTGTTTGACCATATACCATTGCCTATTCACTTTGTTGCATGTTTTAAAAATTATTTGTAGGATAGTTTAGATTTTTACAAATATAAAATAGTACAGCAGTCCTATATACTCTGCACTGATTAACAGCTTGCTTTAGTATATTTTCATCAATTACTATACCAATATTGATATATAATTGTTGATGAAAGGCCATATTTTTCAGATTTTCCTAGATTTTCCTATTGTTTGTTTTCTGTCCTCAATCCCATCCAGGACTCTACATGGCGTTTTATCATTGTGTCTCCTTAAGGCTCCTCTTGGGTGCAACAGTTTCTTAGACTTCGCTTTTTTCTTTCCTTGCCCCCCCCCCGCTTCTGTTTGTTCCTTCTTTTTGCTTGGCACATTGGGATTTTAACCGAGGGTCTTCATGCTAAGTTACATCACCTTTTTAAAAAATTTTGAAACTGTCACTAAGTTGCCCAGGCTGGGCTTGAACTTGTGATCCTCCCAAAGTACTAGGCTTGCATTTTTAAGGCATGCTCATCAGGTATCTTGTAGCTGTACCTCAGTTGGGATGGTTCCATTTTGTTCTCTCGATTAGAATGAAGTTATGAGCTGGCGGAGGAAGGCCACAGTGGTGTGGTGCTGCTTCAGTTAGATCTTACTAAGGGCACACGCTGTTGCTGGGACCTCACTGTGTCTCTTCGTGCCTGCTTGCAGTTGTGTTTATCAGTTTTCTTCGCTGAAAAGTTACTTCTCTTCCCTTTGCATACGGGATTCTTTGGAAGGACATCCCCTTGTGCACCCTGTAGTTAGGGAATCGAGGGTGAAAAAACTCCATAAATTATTTGGAAAAACTCCTGCATAGGTGTATGCTTAACTTTGTTTTTTTGTTGTTGTTGTTGTTGTTGTTGTTTTTGGTACCGGAGATCCAACTGGGGTCCTTGTGCTTGTGAGGCTGGCGGCAGAACCACTGAGCTAAATCCCCGGGCCCTGGTGTATGCTTAACTTTACAGGAACTGAGAGTTTTGGGAAGTGAGCGTGCCTCTTTGTATTCTCACTGGTAGGGTCCGAGAGTCCAAGTGCTCCTTATCCTCATCAACACTTGGTGATGTATTCAGACAAGATCCGGTGCTTTCGAGGTGGTATTTTCAACTTTTAGAGTTTAACCATCCTAGGTGATGTGAAGGTGAAGTGGTATTTCACTCTGGTTTTAATTGTAGTCACAATGATGAATAATATTGGGTGTATTATCCTATGCCTGTTTGCCATTCCTGTAGGGTTTTTTTTTTGAGGGGGTGTTGAAATGCCTGCCCAAGTCTTATGCTCAGATTTTAAAGTTGGGTTTTTATTATTGAGATGAGATGTTGTTTGGGTAAATTTGATGTAGATTATTAATTCAATATATGACTCGGAACAACCACAGTAGCACAAACTTTCTATATTAGAGTTTGTATGTGAATTCATTTTCCAGTCAGTGCTGTCGTATTAGGTGCTTGAAGTGATGTTTGGTTTTAACACACAAAATTATTGGCTCTAATCTTTTGTATTTGCAAAGAGGTTTGATTTTTGTAATCATAGTTCTCAAGTTGAAAGACAAGTGTAGGCTGTAATTCACATTAAGTAAACGCTGCTTTCTTGATTGTCTTCTGTCAGTTCTTAACTATTTGAAATAATATTAATATTATTTGTACCTTTGGGAAAAAGTACACAGAAGATTGTCATGTACTTGTTTAGCACTTAAAGTGTTTTGAACTAAAAAAAGACCCATATGTGTTTTCAGTTGTGTGCTATGATTTCTGGCTATTAATGACTGAGTTCCTTGATTTTTCCGGTTTCACCTCTACACTAGAGTTCTCCCTTTGTCTACTTACCTCTATTGACCGAACAAGATTTGGGAAGATAAGATTAGCTCAAGGAAGAAAGAGCCAGGGCTTAATGTAGTATATGGCTAAAGAAAACAAAAAAAGATAAAGGAGGGAAACATAATTATAAAGATTATTGAGATATGAGAGTCAGAGGAATTCCTAAGCATGATTTAAAAATTCTGAATATGTAAAAGCATGATTTTAACATTGAAAGAAAACCTATGCTGTCAGAAGAGAGTATCAGCTTTTCTTTTTAAATTCAGATAAAGACATCTCTATTTATTTTAATTTTTTTTCCCAGTACTAGGGATCGAACTTGGGACCTTGAGCTTTTGAGGCAGGTGTGGTACCACTGAGCTAAATCCCCTGCCACCCCTAGCTCTGTATTTAGTTCGGCCTTTTTCTTTTCTTTTCTTTTTTTGTACCAGGATTGAACTCAGGTCCTTGTGTTTGCAAGGCAGGCTGCAGAACCGCTGAGCTAAACCCCCGGTCCTTGGCCTTTTCCTAATGGCCCATCCTCTTGCTGTTTCAGGTCAACCTCTTTGTGCTGCTCTCTGTGGTTTGTGTCCTCCTGAATCTCGCAGGATTCATCCTGGGCTGCCAAGGGGCACAGTTTGTATCCAGTGTGCCAAGGTGTGATCTGGTAAGTGATCCTAAGCAGCCCTATGCATTGGCAGGCCCTGGCCATCTTCTTTGCTGCTTTAACTTGTAACATATAGCACCCAGCAGCTGTCCTGAAGTGCAACCAGATGTTGCCGAAAGGAAAGAAAAAACAAGACATACCGACCCGCTATTTTCTTGGTTATCAATTATTTTTGTCAAAGCATTGATCATCCAGCATCATCCCGGAACCACAGAAGAGGAGTATAATAGATCAGGTCTCCTCAGTCAGTCTCTGTCCATCTTTCGTCAAAAGAGAGAAAACAGGTATTACCAGGATATAGGTCCACAATCTTATCTGAAAGCTTTGGAGGGCAGGTGTGTGTGAGCATTTAGAGATTTTCCAATTTGGGGTCCAAATACGGTATACACACCATTTATTATGTAGCCCACCAGTGACATATGGGACAACAGGCTGTAATCAAGGCTTTCAGTTTTCAGAGCTTTGTGAATTTCAGAAACATAGATAAAAATGTGTGGAGTTGTAGCATTTCTGACGTTCACCAAATATTTTAGTTGTGATAAAATACACATGGCATGAAACTGACTACCTTAACCATGTTAAGTGTATGGTTCAGCAGTACTGTATATAGTGTTGAAGAAATCTCCAGATCTCTTTAGCTTGCCGAACTGAAATTCTATACGCATAAAAAAACAACACCCAATTATCCTTATCCCCCATCTCCCAGTCCCTGGAAACCACCATTCTACTTTGCATTTCTATGAGTCTGAATGCTCTAAATGCCTCTTGTAAGTGGATTCATGCAGTATTTTGTAAGTGACGTGTTTCACTTAGTATAATACAGGTTTGTCCACGTGGTAATATGTATCAGAGTTCCTTCCTTTAAAGGATGAATAATACTCCATTGTATATAAGAATGACACTTTATCCATTTGTCATTGGATGGCCTTTGGATTGTTTCCACTTTTGTCTTTTGTGTGTAATGCTGCTGTGACCATGGGTGTACAAACATCCCTCCTAAGCCCTTGTCTTAGTTATTTTTCTTTCGTTGCTGAGACAAATGCCCAACTACCTGAAGTTAAAGGGGGAAAGGTTTATTTGGCTTATAGATCATAGAGGTTTCAGTCCATAATCGGCTGGCTCCAAGGTACAGTGGCTGAGGGGCAACAGTTCTTGGGGCCTTAACAGTGTCTTTCTTCCCTTTTATCTTATTCAAACTACTTAGGGCAGGTGGCACTCACACCTTAAATCCTAGTGCCCTTGGGTTTAGGCCTACCGTGAATCAGTCACATACTCTAGATTCAGCCACCTCTGGAAAAGCATGGGGGCGGCATTTAGCCACAACCATAACAGCCTGCTCTTAATGCTTTTGGGCACATCACCCAGAAGTGAAGTCTCAACGCCTCTGAATTTTTTATAGGACTTCTCAGTAACAAATACCTCCCTGTAGCACATAACAAAAAGGAATGAACTCTTTAGAAGTGGTACATCCATTCCATCCATTTGGAACTTGGTTCTGCACAGTCTCATCCTTTAGAACTAGGTGGATACAAGCCGAGAAAGCCTGGTATTTCTAGGAAAGATGTGATCAGGCTCTTGCAGTGACACCCATGATCTCCCCAAACCCCTCAGGGACTCATGAAGGCCCTACTTTTCTTTCGTATAATTTCTTTATGAAATTTTAAAATTTTGTCATTCCATTGCTTAATAACCCTGTGTTAGGGAGTCACATAACTTTGCTGGTTTTTAAGGCCCTCTGTGAATTGCCCTCAGGCTGCCCTTACTCTGGAGCAGCTCACACTCCCCATAATTGAGCCAAACTCACAAGCTATTTCCCAGAATTCTGTCTCCATCTGCCCCTGGGGTCTCATTATATTGCCTAGGCTGGTTGGTCTTCAACTTCTGGAGTCCAGCGATCCTCTTGCCTCAGCCTCCCCAGTGCTGGGACTATTGGTGTGCCACTGTGCCTGACTCTGCCTTTCTTTCTTATTGCTAACAATGTTATCTCTCCTCCAACCCAAGAATTCTCTTTATCCTCCTTTTGCATTCCTTGTGATACAATCAGTCTTTGAAAGCCCCATTCAGACCAGCCACGGAGATGCACACCTGTAGTCCCAGCACTCTGGGAAGCTGAGGAAGGAAGACTGCGAGTTCAACTCCAGTCTGGACGATTTAGCACCTTAGCAAGACTCTGTCTCAAAATTTTAAAATTAAAAAGGGGGCAGGAATATAGTTTGTTGTAAAGACCCTGGGTTCAGTTCCCAGTGCTGGAAAAAAGAAAGTGCCATTCAAAGACTGCCTTCCTTAGGAAATAGTCCCTGATCCCCAGAGAAGATAATATTCTACCTGCGTATCTCTTTCTTTTTGGGGGCTAAAGATACATTACTAGGTGGCAGTCACCTGGACAGTAGTATCTGGTTCCCTTTTATCTTAGGGATTTCCAGTAACCCCACGTGGACTCTTTTATAGACAGGTGGTCCCTGGAGAAAACTTTTGGACAAATTTTGGTTTTCCAGTTATTAATTGTGTAATTGAATTCAGTAGGTTCAGATCTTAGTGAGTAGAAAGCCAAAAATAGCCAGAAGACAAAAGAATGGAGAAAGATTTATTACCTGCAGCAAATAAGTAGGGCACTGGGGTTATTTCTTAACCATTATCCTCCCTGAGAAATGGAAGCATGGAGCTTTTATTCAGAGAGCCTATACATGCTTATATAGGAATGCTTTTTAGTGATGGGCACATTCCTGAGCATGCCCAGCTCAAGGTTTGTAATTCTGGGCATGCTCAATTTAAGGTAGTTTGGAAAGAGGCAGCACGTCTCTGGGCATCCTCCATTCAAGACCGTTTGAAAGATTAAGATGGTAGACCCCATACTTCTGGGCGTGCTTAGTTCAGTATTGTAATGAGTTGAGTTTTTTCTAGGTGCCTTAAAGACTTAATTAGAGTGGGTTGGTAACTTTGGCTGGTTCTTGGCAAGTTTCCCCCCAAAAGTCTAAGGTGAAACAAAAAGAAAAAGCATTCTAAATGTGTATTAATGTGGGAGTTTGCCTCAGGAGAGGCCTGCCTCAGCAGCTAACAATTACACAACAAATGAGAAGGGACAAAGAGAAAAAACTAAGACTAGACAGGAAAAGTGTTAATAGAGTAATAGTTCAGCAGAATTGTAGTATGTCCCAGAATTCCCTTCTTTTTTTAAGACTAAATTATATTGTTTTGGATATATATGATACATTTTATTTATATACTCACTCATCTGTTGGACATTTAAGTTCTAAGAGAATGTAACTGTTTGCACATCTTGCTGTAACAACTATTGGGAATAATGCTACAATGGACGTTGGTTTGCAGATATCTTTTGGAGATCCTGGTTCAGTTCTTCTGGATGTATATCCAGAAGTGTGTTTGCTGGATCATGTGGTGATTATTTTCAACTGAGGAACCTCCATACTGTTTTCCAAAGTGGTTACACCATTTTACATTCCTTTTAGCAGTGTGTAAATATTCCAGTTTCTCCACATCCTGACATTTGTTTGTCTTCTTTCGGTTGTGACCATCCTAATGGATATGAGTTTTGATTGTATTTCCTTGAGGATTAGTGATATTGAGCATCTTTTCATCTTTTCTTTTATGCTCCTGTATACTTTTGTGCCATGTTATTGAATACTGCAGCAACCTGTGCAACTTGTGAGACCAGCTTTTTTGCATAATTGAGCACCTTGCCCTGAGAGTGGATTTAAATTAGTGGTGGTGCATGCCTGTGATCCCAGCACCCTGGGATTCAGGAGGATTCAGAGTTCAAGCCAAGCCTGGGCAATTTAGCAACACTGTTTCTCAAAATAAAAAATAAAGAAATAAAGAAAGAAGGATTGGTGATGTGGCTCCGAAGGCTGTAGGTTCAATTTCTAGTCTTGGGGCTCGAGGGGGCTACTTTGTAAGATGACATCTAGCATTACCCAAGGGAAGCAGAGGGCTCAGGTGCAGTCTGGAGGTTTGTGCCGAGGAGGAGGAGGAGAAATAGAAATCACACTGAGTCATGCTAAAGAAGGGAGTTTGGTTCCTGTGGGGTAGGAGAGCAGAGTGGAGGCCAACACATCATCTGCCTTACTGCTGATTTGTTACTGCTAAGTAGCGTCGTTAGTGTTAACACAGGAACTCAGAGAAGGAGGCCTTTGGGAGAAATATCCACCTGCTGAGTTTGGGATTTTATGGACTGTGGAAGAGGGACCTGGAAAAAGCTTGTCTGATTGGCCACAGTAACGTTCTTTGAGAAGACGAGTGGCTACTGTGGCTATCAGTAGCAAGGTGTGTCTTCAAAAACATGAGACACTGGCAGAAAGACTGACACAGATAAGCTTGGGCCTTTTTGTGGGGCATGGGTCTAGGCATGGGAACATTGATGATGTAAACTGTTAGGGGCAAACTAGGAAAAGAGACCACTTGGGAATGAATTGATAGAGACCCTGGAGGTAATTTTAGTTGTCTTTCCTTGTAGCAGAGACAGAATTTACATAAAAATCTGATATAATAATGCGTCCTTTTAAAGAGAGAAGTCCACTCCTCCATATGAAGTTGGGCAGCTATGAGTTAACTGTGTTATTAGGCAACTGTGGGTTAACCAAGTATTAGGCAAGTGTGGGTTAACTAGGTAACTGCTCTTTGTAGCATGTACCTGAGTAGCCATGACAACTTCTGTAATCTGTCACCAAAGGAGCATAACAGACTCAAAAAGTCCTGCCAGAACTCTGTGCTCTCCCCTTCTCCACTGCTCTGCTTGGTGTAAATCCTGCTTGCTCTATTCCCAGGGAAACTCCAGTGGAATTAAGCTTCGTAGATGTAAAAAGAGGTATGTTAGGGAAGCACACACTTCTAGTCAGGGCTTTTGAGACTGACAGGAGTCACTTGCTGAGCTGCTGGCATCATCGAAAGCCTCTTTTTTGCTCCTGTCTTTGTGTTAGAAGAGTTATCTGTCCAGCGTCCTCATTGTTTCCCACTTTACTTTTCAATGTGATTTCAGATCAGAGAATCAGAAATGCTGTCGAATCCACGGAGCTCTAGAAGAGGCACTGCTGATCGTGTAGGCAAAAGATGCGAACAGTGGTCACCTGTAGGAGAGTGGGGGCAGAGATCAGTGGGGAAGGGGCAGGAGGGAGTTTTCTCTGAAGATGGTAAGGGTTCGGGTTGCATTGCTCAAAATTCCTCACGTGGTACACTTAGATTAGCAGATATAACTTGGGGGGTATATGTAAATTTCACCTCAAATGAAGAAAAATAGCCTTCCACCCCCAAATATTGCATAATCCAATATTAGAATGTTTTTCGGCTCAGATTATAAGGAATCATATTTTCTCTTAGATTTGGAAAACAACCTTGAAATTTACTATGTAACTAGAGGTTAAGAGTCTTATTTTAGTAAGAAAAAAGGGATTCCCCACCCTCACCCCAGTTTGGCAATGAAAAAGTGTGAATGTTCAGTCATTTTTAATGACTCCTGAAGAATTTTGCAGCTGGTGAAGTTAGAGCTGCCTAATTGGTTTAGCAGTTCATGAAAGAGCTGTAGCCTTTCCTTTTAGGCAAAGCAGAGAAGCCAACTTCAGCAGCTCAGGCAGCAGAACAACTATGAATGAGCCTTTGCCCTCTTTTTATGGGCTTTATTTGCCCATCTTGGTGGTATTTATTTTCACAGTATGATTCAAGAAAAATTTGAAAAGTGACCAAAAGTTTGCAAAGCATTTCACTGCAAATGCAGGCACTCGCTCCTCAGTTACCACTCTACCCCAAACCCCAGAATCTATGCCTGCTTTCTAGGTATGAAGTAAGAGGTCTCCGTAGGTCTGAGCCTCCGCTGTTCACCAGGCATGTGGTGGGTTGGATGTTACACCTTCTCGGAGTTAGATGGGGCCATGTGATTTGCTTTGATAATGAAATTATCAGCCGAAGTGATGACTGTCATTCCCGAGAGGAAGCTTTAAGCTAGGGTTGCCAGATTTAACATGTAAAATTATAGCATGCCCAAATAAATTTGGATTTCAGATAAAATTGCCATTTTGTTAGTGTAAATGTGTCTTGTGCAATGTTTGAGGATACACTTATATTTTTTAAAAAACTAAATGTCACTTATTTAATTCAAATTTAATTGGGCATCCTGTATTTTATCTGGTGACCCTACTTCGAGTGCAGGTACACCTTTTATCCTGTCCTTTCCATCTCTCCAGCATATCAGTAGTGTCATGCTGCTGGGAAGGTGGCTGTTCCACAAGTCTGAGTCTCCCGGGAAACATCGTGAACAGGACCCCTGCTGACCTGCAATAAAACTGTAAAATGTACAATAAATGGCTGAAATTTGGTTTTGTTTCTCACTGCAGGACACCCTAACCTATTCAACTGATAGGGTTATTGCCTGACGTGAAACTCTACTGTATCTCTTTCTGTAAGATTGCTGCTCTCCGCTATAGCAAAGATTTTTTTTTTTTAGTAATTAAACCACCAGCCTGCCTCTTTCCCCTTCAGGTGGACTTAGGTGAAGGCAAGATTTGTTTCTGTTGTGAAGAATTTCAACCTGCCAAATGTACAGACAAAGAAAATGCCTTGAAACTCTTTCCGGTTCAGCCTTGTAGTGCTGTTCATCTTCTTCTTAAGGTATGTTGAACAGATTCCAACCCCACCAGAAAATGCATCAGTGAAATGCACAGAGAAGGCAGAGTTCCTCAAAATACTGCTGTCGTATCACTTCCAGTTAAGCTTCGAGGTATGAGTGACCCCTCACTAGTGACCCAGAGGCAGGACTGAGTGCAGAATAACCACAGATTACTGTGTGTGCGTTAAATTATGCATGGGCAACTTTCTTTATGTTCGAGGAGTCTAAGGTCATAAAAATTTCTAGGCACCCAACTACTATATACATATTTAAGTGTCTATACATGTAACATATATAGGTATGTATGCACACACGCACAGACAGCATAGCTTTTAGAAAAGCCTTTAATCACCTGCTCAGTTGTCATTGTGCCGATGTTCAGTTGTTAGTGTGAGTGAGTTGCATGGACTTACTGAGAGCTGCCATTCTGTGACACACAGACTAAGGAGAGAGGTTGGCCAGAAAATTCAGGAGAAATTCAAGAACTTTATCTCTTGTTTAATTGGTGATAACTATAGCAAGCAAAAGAAATTTAGAAACAAATTATTCTAGTTGACAAGAAAGACAGAACTAACCTTTATTAAGGAATTGAATAAAAACGGTACCCTAATTTCAGGAGCGTTAGCTGAGTTAGTGACGAAATCAGTTGGTGAACTCTGATGCATGAGCTCTTAGATTGTCTGTCACTAATGGCTTTCTTTGTTTATTTTCTGTGGGGAAGAAGAATCTCTAAGGGGGCCGGGATTCATAGCTGCCAGCCCTGGGTTATGGCAGATGTAAAAATGCCCTGCTTTCTCTGGCTTCTGCATATTTGATGCCTGAGTCACCCTAACTTTCTGAGCCAGGACTCAGGTTGGGAAAATGGGGAAAAGTCAAGGAGCCAGGACCGTAGCCATCGTCGCTTTTGGCATTGCCTTACTGCTATTCTGAGATGTGTGTTTAGAGGAGAGATGGCCTGTTTACACTCTGGCTGGCCTGGCCCCTACTGTGCCTTCAGTGGGCACTTGGGGCAGCACTGCCAGATGCTCCTGAAATAGAAATCAGTGACCACAAATTAAGCACTGTGCCGTGCTCATGGGAGGCTGGAGATAAGGAATTTCAGAAGAGAACCTCACTATTCCCCTGGAAGGCAGGAAGGTTTCTAGGTTGTGCCCTCATAGTTGTAAAAAGAAATACAGTTGCCACATGGTGTCCAGGGGAACTGGCTGCAGAACCCCTGAGAATGCCCAAAATCTGTGATGCCCATGTCTTTTATATGCAGTGGTGAGTATTTGCATATAACCCAGGGGCTTTAAACCATGTCAAGATTAGTTACAATATCTAATGTAAATATTTATGACTTTGGTTAACTGAATCTGCAGATGTGTAACTCAAGGATATAGAGGGCAGAGTGTATTGTAAGGTCAGGTCTTACTAGGACAGAGCCAGCATTTATCGAGCTAGACGGCATATAAATCCTATCTATGCATTTTCTTGTGAGATGTGTCTCTCTGGGACAGTGTTATTATTTAAGCGTATTTTTAATGTTGCATTCTGGTCATCTGCACTGAAGTAGTCTGCGGTATCATTTTTTCCGTGTTCCAGAAAGTCCTCTTCGCCCTGTGTGCTTTGAATGCCCTGACCACCACTGTCTGCCTGGTGGCTGCTGCCCTTCGCTACCTCCAGATATTCGCCACCCGAAGGTCTTGCATCGTAAGTCTAGGCAAGCGGGCAGTGTGACTTGTATCCTGCTGTGTGGTGGCTGAGCCAGCCGTGGTGCCTTTTGCCCTGCATTGCTCTTCTCTCACACCATGGCATTTAAGGCTGTTGACTCACCAAGGTGCTGTTTAATCAGGATGAGTCCCAGATCTCTGTGGAAGAAGTAGAGGACCACGGACGCATCCCAGACCCAGATGACTTCGTGCCGCCTGTGCCTCCCCCTTCCTACTTTGCCACATTTTACTCGTGTACGCCCCGGATGAACCGCAGGTATTGTTCCTAAATCCCCTCCGGTTTTCTGGGGCGCTCTTGAGTTTTGAAGGCTGAAGGGTCTGCACAACTTGAGCGTGAGCTCTGACTTTCCCCTCAAATCTAAAGAAATTTTATCTCTCAGGGTTTGTGTTTCTCTCTGTGGCTCTGGTTCTTTCTGTCTCTCTCTTTTGTCTGATAAACCAGATGAATCCAGAGAAAAGTCAAACCTTGACCTAAAGATATACTTTTTCAAGTTCGGTTAGCTTCCTAGGGAAAACTGACACCCAGGGAGATAACAGCTATAATTTGACATGATTGAGAGTTGCAGTTGCCCTGGCAACACTCCCAGTTATGCCAAATTGATGTTTTATTATAACACCATCAGCAAGTCCCAACAATCTTGAAATTCTTCCTAGATGTTAAGAAAAGATTAAAAATTAATTGCACCTTCCTGATTAAAAAAAAGATATCATACTTACATTCCTTTTCAAATTCTAGCTCAAAGTTTGGCTCTTTCTCAAATCTCAGGAATTATTTGTACAATGAGATGTCATGTGCCTTTGTCTGGTGGTTAGTGACTTCTAGAATTGAACCTCTCTAAAGAACGATTTCATTTACCCATTGAACAACCAAGCAATCAATTCTTGGCTGCTTACTCTTTGCTGGTTACTGAGATTTGAAATGCGTTAGCGCTGCTCCCTCTCCTCCAGTCAAGGAGCTCACAGTCTGAGTGTTGGAACGATCACAGTGGCACGTGAAAGAGTGATTTGGGGTGCACAGAATAGGTCTCCTAGCCTAGCGTAGTGAGGTAGTCTGCCACATGGGGGCGGCTTCCTGGAAGAAGTAACCTTAATCTGAGGTTAAAATATTCTCAGACTTATATGTGAGCCCCAAAAGAAAATCTCTATGAATTCCACGGACAAAGTAGCAACTTCTGCTTGATATTCTGGGGTGTTTTAGTTACTTTTTTTTTTCATTGCTGAGACAAAATACCTGACACCCAAAGTTAAAGAATGGAGGGTTTATTTAGCTCACAGTAGAGGTTTCATTCCATAATCAGCTGGCTTCAAGGCAATGTGTCATGGCTGACAGGCATAGCAGAGGAGAAACAGTTCATGGTTGGCAGAAGTTAGCAAAGCAAGCAGGAGGTAAGTTTTTCTTCAACTCTGGGTTTTATTTGGCCAATTAATACAGTGCCTCTTAGATAAGTTCCCCTAGAATATGATGAACAACTTCTACATTATTTTGTTTTGATCAACTGTACAAACATGTTATGCCAATAATCTTCACCATAAACAGCAAATACCATAAAATACTATATATTTATCAATAGATTTCATATTATTTTCTTTCTTTTGTTTATTATGCTTCTTAGTTATCTCTTCCTGCTATGTCTTGCATTCTTAATTTATCCTACTCTTCTAGAGATGATGTTTGGCAAACATAATGAGAAAAGCTTTTTATTGGGAAAAAAGTGGCCTCTGTACTTTTGATGAAACTAACACCAATTTATTTGCTGAATTTCAACAGAAGTTTAAATTAAATAATTTTCTGCATTCCTTTTCAGTTCTAGATTTTTAAAATCTTATACTAATAGAGAATTGAAATAAGGGAAGTGAATGTAGAAAAGTTTATGTGGCATCAAGATGTATGAACTAGGAATAGCAAAGCACTGTGTAGGTCCCTTTTACTGCATCTAGGCTGTTGGGATTACGGAGGTGCCAAACCAATCAGTGGACTGAGTTAGTAATCACCCACCCTTAATCCTAGCATTGCACCATGAATCAGTCACTCATTACAGCTCCAGCAACCTCTGAGAAAGCCCCATCTACAACTTTGTGAAGCTTTGGGGGTCATCTAGACACAGCCATAACGTGAGGCTGCACATCCTCCTTTCCTCTCCCTCTCCGTTTTCCTCTCCCTCCCTCCTACCCTCTCTCTCTTTCTTTGTACCAGAGATTAAACCCAGGACTTTGGCTCTGAGCCACTCTCTCAACCCCACCCTTTTTATTTTCTGAGACAGGGTCTCACTAACATTCTAAGTGGCCCAGGCTGTGCTCAAACTTGTGCTTCTCCTGCTTCAGCCTCCCAGGGTGCTACGGACATCTTTATTGTTGAATCCCTATAGTATGGATAGAGTTAACAAATAAATTCGGTACCAGGCTTGGAGTTGTTGGAAAAATATTTTCTAATGCGCAGAAAAGCCCTCTGTGCCCTTCAAATAGGTCTCACCCAGCACTGTTAATGTTCCTGTGTCAAACCTCTTCCCTGCCCTGCCCTGTCCATCTGACCAGGAATAGGCAGAGAGAACCACAAAGCCAGAAGGTGGCAGCTGGGTGGATGGTGTTCTGGTGAGGACTGAGTTAGTTTCCTCTCTGTTGAGGAGTGGACTGCTGACTTTCTGAAGTCAAGATTAGGGTGGCTTCCTTGTCTGTTAGGAAATGAGCCGGGAAGGAAAGGTGCAGAAGAGTCACGTATTCTGCATATACCACAGGACTGGTCTGCTAAAACTATAGCCTGGTCACAGGCTGTATGGTGAGGGTGTACTGGAGGGCGGCGAAAGTGACTGCTCTTTTGTGGTTGGGAATCAGCTGCCCTCTTCAGTGAGAATCCTGACTCCCTGAGATTGTGGGTGAGCATTTGGTTGACCTCTGAAGAGGCAATGGACAGATTCAGTTTCCTGCAGTGACAGAAAGGGAAAGTGACTCATGTGCTTCAGGAGTCGCCCACGGGTCCTGTCATCTCCCTGCCTTGCTTTCTCCTCTCTTTTCTTTCCTTCTCTGCTCTGCCCTAGCAGTGCTTGTCAGTGTGTGTATCTCCACTCTCTGTGGACTTAGCTCCCACGTAAGATTTGTCCCTCTGAGCCCCTGGCCAAATCTAGGTTGAGAGAAGGCAGGCAAACCTCTCATCAAGGCTTTTACTATTCATAGTTTTCCAGAAGGAACATGGTGGCTTCTAGAAAACTACTCTGTGAGAAAGAAAACACTGCCCAGTTGAAATTGCGTGCCTGTCTTAGATCCTGTCTCCAGTGGGCTTACTTTTTGAAATTCTACCAATATCAAGGGGCAGTTCACTTTTCTCTTTAAGACGGCTGAATTCATATTTAGACATATATTCTAGCTAGGGTATTTTTAAATTTTTTTTTCTCATTGAGTTTATTGGTACATTTAGGTATACAGTACAGTTACATTCATCATTGGGATCTTGTACCTTTACATGACAGGTCTTGGTTCTCACTTTTTCCCCATACCCCTGCCCTCCCTTCACCCCCTCCTCCTTTCCCTATTTACAAAAAAGGTATTTTAAAATTTGATGGACTTTGCTAGTTGCCCACTATAAATCAACTTTATAAACACTTGCTCTTTCACTCTAAGTGGTAATTCTTTTGTAAGCAGGCAGCCAAAAATAGTCACGGATGCTTTTGTTCATGTTTCCACAGCCAGGTGTGTTGAGAGCTTGCACCACAAAAGCTGATCGTTTCTTGTAAGGTATTCTGACCTCTCAGAAGAGTTCTCTTTATTTAACTTCTATAAATACAGCCACTTTGTGCTTCCCTACCCCTTTGAGAAAGGGCTTCTTCTCAAGTTACTGTCATAAGCAGATGTCTGACTACAGCCAAGTCTTCCGTCCACAGCTGAGTTATTTATTTTGCAAATTGATTTGTAAGTACAGGAGTGGGCAGTGCATTGCAACTCCCTTCTCCAGGCTGTCTCCCATTTTCAGAAATAGAGTTAGGAATCAAACGAGTAGCAGCTGTGCTGTGCAGTGCCCAGAGACAGGGAGAGAGGAGCATAGTTCTCTGGTCAAAGACGTCTTCATTGAAGCATTATTCCTATGTTATTCAAGGCTTGTTTGTAGCATGGAATCAGAATGCATTCCTGTGCTCTGTTTGAGTGTCCTGTTCATCTTCAGGCTTATGAGCCTGAGCCAGTGCAAGTTTCTTGGAGACTAATAAATGTGAGAAGCCCAGGCTGTGGAGTGTCTTCAGGTGTGACCCTGGGCTGGTTTCTTACCATTTTCGTGCCTCAGTTTCTTCATTTACTTGTACTGTCGCTTGGCTGCTTATGAGATAGTGAACACTGAAAACTTTCTATAAAAGTAAAAGCTTAGGCCATTAGTATAATAGCGTATCACAAAGAGCTTTTATTTTTCCTAGTTCAAGAGGCTGGAAATTTCAAGATCCGGGTGCTAGTAGGCTTGGTCTCCAGTTCAAGATGGCAGCTTTTTGCTGTGTCCTTCAGAAAGAAGAAAGGTTGCATCCTCACATAACGGAAGCGCAAAGTAGAGATAACCCCATCTCCACAGGCTCTTTTTATAGTGGCATTAATGCATTTGTGAAGGCTTTGCCTCATGATCTAATAAACAGTTTTGCAAATGCTCTACCTCCAGAAACATTGAGTGTTTTACTTAGGGGGTCTTTCTGCGTTTTTACATATTCTATATGTGAGTCCTCTGTCCAAGGAATAGCTGGCACAATTTTGTTCCCCATTCTGTAGGTTGTCATTTCACTCTGTTGGGTGTTTCTTTTGCTGTGCTAAAGATTTTTAATCTGATGTGATCCTATTTGTTGATTCTTGGTACTGTCTCTTATACAACTGGGGTTCTGTTCACAAAGTCCTTGCCTACATTTATGTCTTCAAGAGTTTTTCTTTCTTTTATCTTCCAGTAGATTGTTTCTGTTTTAACATTTAGACCTTTGAACCATTTTGATTTTAATTTAGTGTATGGTGAGACGTGTGTCTAGACTCAGTCTTATGCATGTGGACAGCCAGTTTTCCAGTGTCACTTATTTAAGAGGCTATCTTTCCTCCAGTGTATTTTTGGCCCCTTTGTCAAAGATCAAATAGTAGAATTCTGCATCCTCTATTCTGTTGCATTGATCCACATGTGTTTTTGTGGCAGTACTATTTTTCTGGTTTTTGTTTTTAATCACTGTAGCTTTGTAATACAACTTCAAATCCAGGACTGTGATGACTCCTTGTTTTTCAGAACTGTTTGTGCTGTTCGGGGGTCTCTTC